CCGCTTTATTGTACTCCCAGCATCTTAGAAGTTTTGAGATGAGGAAGTTTCTGGAAGTTCGCATGTCAATTTCAGAGACAATTGAAAGGCTAGATATTAAAAACCGGAGTAGTAACCAGAAAACTCACGGTAAAGGTTGAGCGGCCCGCTGACGAACCGAACTTTCGTAGAGACGACATACGCTGCCACAAAATCAAAGAACAAGGCATCTAGACATTTAGTTAATACCAATGCCGTTAGTATGGTTAACCATTTAGCATTTGTATACTAAAGACTGCCAACTGGAATCTGTAAACATTGAGCTCTTCGGTTAAAATATTCGGACCCGCCTTCTAACTAAGTCTGAAATCTTTTTTGGAAGGATTCACTCCATGTTTGCACAGTAATGCCTGAGGATATTAAAAAGCCAAACTGCCTGCGGACCTTACATGGCTTTGGTGTCGTTACATTTACCCATAGCATGGTCGCTTACGAATGAAAAAAGATTATCCGACGATATAAAACAATGGCAAACTGACTGGTCGAGGCGATTTAGGATGTGTGCCTTCTCAGAAATATACCTGCATGCCTCTTGTATATTTTTGAGCACATTATTCTGATTATTGGATAACATTCTGACCAAAACTCCGAACTAGCGTTCATATAAAGTTTGGTAAAAATAATTTCCATGTATTTTTGCTACAGGTGCCAACTATTCAGTCCTGGCTTCATCAGCAGGCAAATAATCGTTACATTGACGGAAAAGTTCCTGATCACATTGCTTCGGCAGCGCTCACAAAACTCCGTAACGCGGCCAAGTCAAATTTTCAAAAACCCTTGGAATTCTTCCAAAAAACCATTGGTTCGTTTCTTCAAATGTCTCAACTGTTTTCCTAATAGTTGAACCGTACTCTTATTTGTTTGATGGGACGGAGAGCAAAGCTGTAGACGCCTTTCTAAAAGAAGATGGCGACTTTCTCGACTACAAAAATGTGAGTTTCCTTGTTTATTTTTTTCTATCGCTCTCTCAGGAGAAAATAAAGCCCTGGCTGTTCTAAGATCTCTCTTTTTATTTATCATCGTTCTGACTCTGTTCACCGCCTGTACGGCTTTGTGCTTAATTGTTTTCTGATCCCATACTAACCAAGATACCAGTTTTCTTTAATTTACAATCGTAGCACCTTAACAACCAATGACTCAATACAAGCATTGGCATCGTCGGAATCAGCAATGTAAGAGCCTCATTTAAGGTATTGTAAGATCGAAAGACTCATAACTTTAAGCGATTAGTAAACTCCTTTGCGATAGCTCAATTGTTCGAGTACTGCGCTGTGAAAAGCTGGAGGCATTCCGCAGATACTTCACAGATCTAGTTTCTAGAGCACTGATTATACTTAAGCCTTGCTCTCTCTAATACCTACCCGAGCAGTGTCGAGACTGTTAACTTTTTCACCAGTTTATAGTCAGTTAAATCATCCGAATTTGCCAAAACCTCTCTTTAAGAGTTAGATCACGTGGAAGAGAACCAAGTGCTTCATAGGTTATCAAACGACACGTTAGCAGGACAAAATCGCAGCCTGAAACACGTTAAACTGCATTCTGACTAGGATCTGATCCAGACTATTCTTAAGGAGTTAGAATTCGTTGCCAGTGGTACTTCGTCAGGATATGTGACGACTGCGCGACGGGAGAGGATGAAACCTAGGAAGACGGCAGATTTGTTAATAAGAATAAATATGCACCTTCCAGGATGGAGTAATTTGGTTGGGACAAAGAGATCACTGATAAACCCAAAACAAAGCCAACGACAAAAGCCGCACACAGTCAGTTTCGTGAGAAGGATGTGCGGAACGATGCTAAAGATACAACATGTCGAGAAAGGTATTTGTGTGCGTGCCGACCCTGATCAAAGTCTGAGAATATTGTGGGTCGACTGAGGAATACCGTCTGTGACACCACATTCTGTTATATGATAAGTCCTCTCCAATTCGCAGTTTGCTCTTCACGGACTTGATACTTCGCGAGTTTTCTCCTAGAATGCGTTTTGCGGATTTATCATAAGTTGCCGGCTTTAAATTTTTATTATTTTCTTAGGTATACTGAAGAGTGTTTGTAGGAGTGCTGGAGAGGTAAATAAGGTTTCTGGATGTACGTAGTGTGATCTTAAACCTTAAAAAATATATAAGAGTTTACATGGTTATCAGGTTTTAAAAATATATACACCGGAGCCCAGGCTGACGAGCGGCTCCATTTACGAACCATCCTAGTAACGAACGATCCACTTGCAGAACATTTTTTTTCGATGGACAAACTTCCGCTTAGTTACCAATCTGTCAGTGCGTGTATGTGCCTGTATCCGCCGTTGAGCCTTGTTCCCAGGGCGTGGGTCCTCGGTCGCCTGCAGCCAATCAGTGAACTGGTGCAGTTTGATTGGTTACGTTGCACAAGACGAGGGTTTCACATGACAGGCTCGGTGCCGGAACGGATTAACCTTGTTAACCGGGGTTCCATGGTATACAACTTCGCAGAAATTTGAATTTCGCGGGGTTCTTAGAACGTCACTTCCGTGACATTCGACGGCTTACTGTACATGCAAATTGCGGGGACCAGGAAGTTACGCCCGCAATGTTACCTTCAGCATTCAGCAGTTGCCAGTTATTCAAAAACAAACCAATAGGTCCAAAAGAAATCAACCAGATTGTGCAATGCGAAGCTTGCAGTTATACCTGCTAACGAATGCCTTGCAAGGTAAATACCTGGAGTCAAACAGGTATAGATTTTTCAAGAATGTTCTCTGATTTTTAACACAAAGTTTAAAAGGTTACTCAAAAACCACACAATGAATGGTGAAGCAAAATACATTTTCAACACTAATTGGACAATTTTTTACACAGGATAATCAATGGTATCTTTTGGCACCAGCCATATCGTGCATAGTCCACATTAATTCCGAATCTCTTATGCCCAAGCGATATT